ATGGATTACTGTTGTCCAAGTCTGGTGATAATTTAAACTTCTCTTTTGTATAAGTCACATATTCTTTTTTTTTTTCTTGTATTTTTTGTTTTTCTTGTAAGCAGTATTGCTAGAATGTATCATGGTCATTCTAGATGGAATTTCTCAGTTTTGCTGTAGTATGTCTTTTTGCTATCTATTTCCAATTTTAAAACTGTTTTCTTGAAATACAGTTGTGGTATTCTTTTTCTTTGCTTTAGTTTTCTTTTTTTTTTAAGATTTTTTTTTCTTTATTTGACAGAGAGAGACACAGTGAGAGAGGGAACACAAGCAGGGGGAGTGGGAGAGGGAGAAGCAGGCTCCCCGCAGAGCAGGGAGCCCAACACGGGACTCGATCCCAGGACCCTGGGATCATGACCTGAGCTGAAGGCAGTCGCTTAACCAACTGAGCCACCCAGGCGCCCTGCTTTAGTTTTCTTGAAAGACTCCTCTTATCCATATGTTGGATGCTCTTTTTCTTCAGTTTCTCATTTTCTCTTGTATCTTTTAAAAATAATTTCATTGTTTTGATATTTAAATTCAGAAAAGTTTCTTCCTTTCACTTTCTATTTTCTGTAAGGCATTGTCTGTTTTCTTTATTCACTCTTGAGTTCCCTCTGGGGTAGTCTTCATTTCTAGAATGATATTTCTTTTTAATTTCTGATTTTATCTTGAGGCATGTCATCTCATTTCTGAACATTTCTAATTCTGATTTATGTTGTTTCATGTTTTCTATAACTTGAGAAAATGTTTTTCAGCTTGTTTTGAAATAGTAGGTAACAGTTTTGATCTGTTACATGTTGATATGTTTTTCTCTTGTGGTTTTTTTTTTTTCCCTTTCATGGATGTTATTCTAGTATTTATTTTATTTTCCTTGTAGAAACATTGTATGGAATTTTATCTTGATCCTTTTATTTTGCTTAATTTTATCTGTAAAGTTAGTTTTCCTCTATATTGCTTTTTTAAAGAACTGTGTATTGTTTTTGAAATGAGTGATACATGTCTAAGAAGTTAGAGTACTTGAATAGAGATAGCAGCAAAAGATTTTTTTCTGAAGTCTTGAAAAGATGAATTAACCTTGTAATCTCCCTATTATTCTTTTTGATGTCCATACTGTTAACACCATATTTAGGGGATAGCTTTTCTATCTGCTACTATGTGCTTTTGACATAGTCATAATAATTTTTGAAAGCTTTCTCACTGGCTCACTTTTTTAACTCATGTGTTAAGTTCCCCACACCAATCCTGAACAGACCTTTTCTACCAGAAACTCTTTTTCCTTTTAGCAAGGAATATATTAAAATCTAGAATCTAAGTCCTTTGGGCAATTCAGCAATTTTTTCATGGCTATGTCTCGTGCCTGACCCTGGTTTTACAGTTATCCAAGTACCTTGGTGAGCCTAAAGTGTATGCATTTAAAAGAAATCTGAATTCATAGTGTATCAGTTTACTACTTATATTTCTGAGAATGAATTGTGTATCATACATTTTTTTTTTAATTTTAGAGATTTTATTTATTTAACAGAGAGAGACACAGCGAGAGAAGGAACACAAGCAGGGGCAGTGGGAGAGGGAGAAGCAGGCTTCCTGCGGAGCAGAGAGCCCGATGCGGGGCTGGATCCCAGGACCCTGGGATCATGACCTGAGCCGAAGGCAGATGCTTAACGACTGAGCCACCCAGGCGCCCCGAGTATCATACATTTTTTATAAATAATGATTATTTCTGTCCTTCATTTACAACATAAAGCCTGTTGTAAGTTAAATCTCATTATTCCCCTAACATGCTGTTCAAAATGAATCCTTTTTTTCTTTCTTCTATCAAAATTTGACCAGAATCATAAAATCACAGAATTTAGAAAATGAAAGGAATCTTAGAGCAGTGATTTTGGCTTTTTGTAATTTCTTTCCTATGTATTATTATTAAAGTGTTTTCTAGTGCTGTTTAAAAAAAGCCCACTTTTTAAAGATTTATTTATTTTAGAGGGAGAGCATGCACTAGCGGGGGTGGGGAGAAGGGCAGAGGGAGAGAGAGAATCTCAGGCTGACTCCCTGCTGAGCGTAGAGACTGATGCGGGACACGACCTCATGACCCTGAGGTCACCAGTGGAACCAAAGTTAAGAGTTGGATGCTCAACCGACTGAGCCATCCAGGCCCATGACTGTAAGACATTTACCTGCCTTCAGGTATTATATTTATCATTCATGGTAAATTTACAAGGACCTTATAAAGCATATATTTAGAAGTGCATTTTATTGCTATGGAATGTCAAAAAGACTTACTGGTGATTAAGGGAGACAGAGAATTGGATGGATGACAAAAGATCCAGGGTGAACAAAAGATTATCAAAAGGGACTTACTAGTGATAAATTCTGGCCTTAACTTCTAAATCACACAGATGACTCTGGTCAAAATCTCAGAACTTTTAAAACATGCTCCATCACTTTGCAGTTGCCATACTGTCTTACCCTGACCTCACCCTTGCTCTTTTGGCCAAAGAATTAGGGGAGTTAGGAACTAGGACGCTGCGTTCTCATTTTGCTTTAATGACCTTTAAGGGCTAGCCCAGGGAATACTACCAAAACATCTAAAGAAAGAGGAAATGAGTTCATTGAAACATCTGTCTGAGTAGTTACCCAGCTTACTACTGGCTATTTTTCTTTTCTGTTGGATGGGACAAAAGAATAGTCATTAAATACTTGATGTGAGCTTTTTTTCTTGGTATTTTGCATTTTGAGGTAAGTAATTTGTCTCAAATCAGAATGCATGAGAAAAATCTAGTTAACTAATCAGAGGTTCCTAGTTGTTGGGCTCCTGTTAATCAGAAGTTTTACTGTATAATCATAATGTATTTTGGATGTTCTCATTTATGTTATTTCTTCAGCTGTTTGTGTGGGTATTCTGATTACTTGATTAAATCTGTCTAGCATAGTGGTATTTAAAACTGCATTTATAATAAAAATTCCTCCATCTTAGCAAGTAAAAGGGAAATATGGGAAACCAATTGATAGTTGAAACATGATTGTTTCCTCTTGACTTGGCTTGGCATTTAGTGGGTGGCAGGTTTGTAATGAAGAGAAATGAATATGATAATTGCTGTGATCCAAAATGACTGGAGACGTGGCGTATGCGAAGATGTAAGCCTATGACCACTTTGCCGTCTTACAGAGCAGCTCCACTTTTCATGTGTTTACATCTTGGGGGTTTCACAAAAGATTCTTTTTTTAAAATTAAGAACATAAGGTTCTACTCTTAAATACAGACATTTGATGGGGAGGTACTTTATGGGCCTCTGTTTTTGCTGAAGAGGTTTCTCATCTTGCATTATGCCATTTATAACTGGTAATTGTAAGTATTTGGGTTCCTATAATTTTGAGGTCCTATGGACCTAACTGTCTTACTTTTCTAGTGTTCTCTTTTTATCAGGACTTCTGGTTAAGAGATAAGAACTCACAGTTGTGGCACTCAGCTTGGTGTTTTACATTATTATTTTATTTAATACTCAGTCATACTTGCAAGGTGGTTATTATTCCCACTGTCACACAAAGAAAAGGAGACTTTATTAGTTCAGAATCTAAAATTTCCCTTTTCTTCTGTGTTGGTTTTGGGCACAAGAGAAAGTATACATCCTGAGTTTAAAGGCATTGGCTTTTTCTATACATTTTATCTGAGTGATTTCATCCACAACTTTTAATTTTCTCTTGTATTTAATGCCTTTGAAAATCCGTATCTCAGCCTGGACTCCTCTTAGAACCTCTAGGCCTCGCTGTCAGCTTCCTGTACGCTGTCATAGCCGTCTCACCCCCCCTGTTATTTATCTCCTATACATTGCTTTTGTTGATTCCCTGTTCTCCTTCCACCTTCTGCTCTGGATGGGTTTAATCCTCTTGGCTCATAACGGCTGAGAGACCAATCCAACAACACACTGCAGTAGCTACTCTGGATACTATGCTTAAAAGGAGAATGAAGCTCCTCTCCCAAGCCCAGAGTCCTTTCAGGCACCAGGGCTAATAGATAGAATATGAGGCATAAAATTCATGATTTATTCTTTATATCAACCTGACCAAAGGTCATGGGAGAATCAACAGTTCAGGGCCTAAGATGGTGCCCAGCATCCATTCTGGTTTTCCTTTTTTCATATTTAACCTCCATTCTTTGCCTAGTAACCTCATCCTTCACTTCAGCAATCCTCACCTTTACTTCTCTAGACCATGCTCCATAGTGGCACTGACTACATCATATTTTGCTCTCTCCCAGATTAGTTCGTTGGCAAAATTCATTAACATTTTGTTCATTATAATACTGTAAACACAGAGGGGTGGATCCATTGCTGGGGAACTAAATGTGATTGATACCGAAGAGTTTTTGTTGAAACTATAACTCTACCTGGTAAATTCCCACTATATTCTTGATTCATTTCTTGTAGTCACGAGGATGTAAACATTCTGTACTTTCTTTTGTCTATTTCCCTGAGGTTTAGTGATCACATTCCCTTGAATTAGTGGATATCCTGTGGTTTTCATCCATGTCCCCTACATTTAGCTCAAAGCCTGGCACAGATTTGGTATTTAATGAAAAAGGACATTTGTGTTGAACCTAGGCAGTGTGCTGTAGGGTATGGAGAATGCAGAGATTTATAAGGTGTTTTAAAGGTGAACCTACTGTTTAGGTTAGGTGGCAGGATATTATATATAAATACAACACCACAGAAGTGGCTTTCCCAAAGAATACTGTTAATATCAAGCAGGAATTCTTCATTTGTTATTTTTCTTTGGCCCGACTTTGTTTCCTGTATCTTTGTGCACTTGTAGTATATACAACACTGTATATTTTAATGTATTGGTTCAAATCCTTTGCTTTTAAGTTGTTTTTGGTACGTAAATAATTAGTAAATATACATATGGGTTTTTCTTTTTATAAAGTTGTGACTGTATCAAGCACCATATTGTTTTTGTTACAGATTTCTACTTGTCTTTCTCCACAGGCAGCAGAAGATGTCGTTTTCATTGGACCTGACACACATGCTATTCAAGCCATGGGTGACAAGATTGAAAGCAAATTATTAGCTAAGAAAGCAAAGGTTAACACAATCCCTGGCTTTGATGGAGTAGTCAAGGTGAGAAACTATATACGTGTAATATACGTGTCCTTAAGTCAAACATTTTGTGAAAAGCATAAGAGAAAATGCAATTATTGCTAAATGCAATAATATAAATGCAAAATAAAATGCATGGTAAAATGCAAAAATATGCATGTGGAGGTTAAAATAAATCAGTGTTGTTTACACTGGATTATTCTATTTTTTTAAAGATTTTATTTTTAAGTAATCTCTGCACCCAACATGGGGCTCGAACTTACACCCCCAAGATCAGGAGTCGCCTGCTCTACCAACTGAGCCAGCCAACTGCCCCTGGATTATTTTAAATGGTATAAGTTAAAGGGAGCAAGAAGCCACTTAAGCATTGTATTTCATGATCAATTTTTTTTAATTGAACTGTCGTTGACACGTTATGTCTCATTAGTTTCAGGTGAACAACATAGTGCTTTCACAACTCTATACATTATGCTCTGCTCACCACAAGTGTAGCTACCATCTGTCACCATACAACCCTATTACAGTACCATTGACTATATTCCCTGTACTGTACCTTTTATCTCTGTGACTAATTCTGTAAGTGGAAGCCTGTATTTCCCCAATCCCCTTCAACCACTTACCCATCCCCCTACTCCCTTCCCTTTTGGACACTGTCAGTTTGTTCTTCGTGTTTATGGGTATGAGATTCTGCCTTTTTTTTCCTAAGATGTATTTATTAGAGAGAGAGAGAGAGAGACAGAGAGAGTGTGCACACAGGTGGGGCGGGGGCAGAGGGAGAGGGAGAAAGAGGCTCCCAGCTCAGCAGGGAGCCCGACGTGGGGCTGGATCCCAGGGTCCTGGGGTCATGACCTGAATGAACTGAAGGCAGGAGTTTAACCAACTGAGCCCCCCAGGCGCCCTGAGATTCTGCTTTTTGTTTATTTGTTTTTCAGATTCCACATATAAATGAAATCATATGCTATTTGTCTTTCTCTGACTTATTTCACTTAGTATAATACCCTCTGGATCTATCCATGTTGTCGAAAATGGCAAGATCTTGGTCTTTCTTAAGGCCAAGTAATAATCTGTGTGTGTGTGTGTGTGTGTGTGTGTGTCCCCTCTTCTTTATCCATTCATCTGTCGGTGAACACTTGGGCTGCTTCCATATCTTGGCTATTGTAAAGAATGCTGCAGTAAACATAGGGGTACATATATTTGAATTCATGTTTTTGTTTTCTTTGGGTAAGTACCCAGTAATAGAATAACTGTATCATATAGTATTTCTATTTTTAATATTTAAAGGAACTTGTGGGACGCCTGGGTGGCTCAGTCGGTTAAGTGCCTGCCTTCAGCTCAGGTTATGATCCCAGGGTCCTGGGATTGAGTGCCATGCGGGGAGTCTGGTTCTCCCTCTCCTTGTGCCCCTTCCCCTGCTCGTGCACTCTCTGTGGCGTGCGCGCTCTCTCTCAAATAAATAAATCTTAAAAAAAAAAAGGAACTTCCATATTGTTTTCCTCAGTGGCTGCACCAATTTGCATTCCCACCACCAATGCATGAGGGTTCTTTTTCCTCCACATCCTCACCAACACCTTTTATTTCTTGTCTTTCAGTTCTAGCCATTCTGACAGGTGTAAAGTGATGATTTCATTGTGGTTTTGATTTGCATGTCCCTGATAATTAGTGATGTTGAGCATCTTTTGATGTGTCTGTTGGCCATTTGTATTGTCTTTTTTGGAAAAGTGTCCTTTCAGGTTTTCTGCCCCATTTTTAATCAGATTATTTGTATTTTGGTATTGAGTTGTGTGAGTTCTTTATATATTTTGGATTTTAAACGCTTATTGGATATGTCATTTCAAATATCTTCTCCCGTTCAGTCATGATTAGTACTGACTCATACTTTCATAGGAAAAAACTTGGTGATTTAAAAATGTACTCTTAGCTCTCTGGATTTCATTGAATGATGGTATGTATTTAACGTTTGAAACATTTTAATGTTCTGTGTGTAACTTTGTGTTGAGCTTCTGTCCATATGCATAAAACATAAATTATAAATGTGTTTCTGGTGGAAAGTGGTATAGTCCCTATGTAGACTTTAACTTTGTGATTTGAGTTAGTCTGCAAAAACTTTTCAGTGTTAATTATTGTTAGCTTTTGGGCTGGGCAGTTGTTTATTGTGCAGGAAACTTTCATGTGTTATAGGACAATTAGCAAGCTTGGCCCTTATTAATATCCTCCATTTCTTGCCCATGTTTACCTTAAACTGTATTCATCCACTTTTTTCCCCTTCTGTCCTGTTACAAGGAAGAGGTGTTCCCATCCTCAGTAAAGCCAGTTCTTCTTGTTAGGTTCCAGATGTACCCCTTATAGCCTTCACGGGCTACAGTCTTTACGGATTATCTTTTCTCTCTTCCATGTCTTAAAACTTGTCTTTCAGCTCCTTTCCATTACCCTTGCTCTTAAAAATTCTCAGTCAACAAATGTGCTAATCCCTGGGCTAAGTGGGAAGCATGTGGTGGTGATAAACAAGATGCCCATGATCCCTCACCACATGGTGCATCCAGTTTAGTGGAAAGAAATGTGGTCACCTAGAGCACAGTCACCCCTTGTCACTTTATAGCTGTCACCTTAGTCTCCCCTTTCATAGCCACAGGTCTTAGAAGAATTATCCTTCCTTGCTTTCATTTCTGCACTGTTCACTTAATCATTAATCTACCATCGGCTGGCTTCTTTCCTCATGCTTATGGAAATTTCTCTTGCAGTGGCTACCAGCAACCTCTCCTTCTCAGTAAATTCAGTATATAATTTGTAATCCTGGTCTTTATCTCTTCAAAGCATTTGAGTCTCTTGGTCACTTTTTCCTTCTCTAAATATCTGCTTCTGGCACACTGCTCAGTTCTAGTTTTGTTTTTGTATTTTTTGGCTTGTTTTAAATGCTCATTCTTAGTTTTCATGCTGATTGTTTTTCCTATCTTTGTTCTGTAAATGTGGTTTTATTTTGGATTCTGAGTAGGAAATGTTATCGTACACCCTCACCCTGGGGCAACCTTACTCTTAGGGCTCACATCTCAAATCTATATATATTTATCTGTGCTAGATCTCTGCATGTGTGCGTGCCTCTTAAATAGTTTCGCTTGATGCCCCTGAGGCACCTTGAAAGTAACAAGTTAAAAGCTAAGCTCATAATTTTCTCTTTGATTAGCAATTGGGAATTAGCTCCATGCCCACCTGATTTGTAAAGTATTATTGGAACACAGCCATGCTCTTTTCTTTACAGATTGCTGATGGCTGCTTTTTTTCCCTAGTGACTGAGTTGAGAAATGAGTTGAGAAATGAGACTGAGTTGACCATGTCACCCAGCAAACCTGAAGTATTTGTTACTGGCCCATTCAGAAAATGTTTGCTGACTCCTGCTGTAAGCTTCTCAACCTGATTCTTTCCTGCCTGAGAAAGTGGTGGTATTTTCCACACTGTTTCTCAAGCTAGAACCTTAGAGTCATTCTTGATAAATACTGCTACAGAGAATTCACCTATAGATGCTTTCTGATCCATTTACTTCTTTCTTTGCTCATGCTAACACCAAGTTCCAGCTTTCATCATCCAATCTGGATTACTTTGTCAGCCTTCTAATTGGTTTCTTTGTAGCCAGTCTTGGTCCCATCCAATTAACTTTCTTCTTCTTTTTTTTTTTTTTTTAAGATTTTTATTTATTTATTGAGAGAGATAGTGATAGAGAGAGCATGAGAGGGGGAGAGTCAGAGGGAGAGGCAGACTCCCCGCTGAGCAGGGAGCCCGATGCGGGACTCGATCCCGGGACTCCAGGATCATGACCTGAGCCAAAGGCAGTCGCTTAACCAACTGAGCCACCCAGGCGCCCCATCTTCTTCTTTTTTTTTTTTAATAAATAAAGATTTATTTATTTATTTTAGAGAGGGAGAGCATAAGCAGAGAGAGGGGGATAGAATCCCAGTCAGGCTCCCCACTAAACAGGGAGCCGGATGTGGGGCTCGATCCCCCAACACTGAGATCATAACCTGAGCTGAAACCAGGAGTCAGAGGCTTCACCAACTGACCCACCCAGGCGCCCCCCGCAATTAACTTTCAACACTGTAGCTTGAGTGACCTTTCAGAAATCCAAATTCAGTCCTGTGCCTGTGTTTGAAAACTCTTGAATGCCTACTAATTCAAGTCCTTTAAATGGCTGGCCTTTGTTTTTCTCTTCAAACTGATAGTGTAGCAGTTTATCCTTTACATTGTGTATGCCAACCATATATGACATCTTTCAGATTCTTGCAACTTCTGTACTAAATTCTGTCATGCATGTTGATCCTGCTTCTGTATCCATTCCTTATTGTCTCCTCATTGTTTACATGTTGGTTTAAACATACATGCCTCACAGAGGCATAGGCCCTCTGCTGTATTTCCTCTTAGTACCCTGCACTTTGCGCATCACATTTTAAATCATTCATTCATTCATCTACTAAGGAAATATTTAAGTGCATACTATTTGTCCAATGTTGTTTGAAGTACAATGAGTAAAGTAATGAACAACAATAATAAAAAAATACCTGCCCTCATGGAGCTTATACTATAGCAGAAGGAGACAGACAATAAACAAATAATAAAATATATAGTACATGCTATGGTGAAACATGAGACAGGGAATGGGGGAAGGGAATATTGGGAGGGTGGTGACACAGGGCAAGTCATGTGGTTATCAGGAGGAAGAGCAAAGCATACTAGGCAGAAAGAATAACAAGTGTAGAGGTGTTGAGACTGAAATGTACTTGCTGTTCAACAGACAACCAGGAATCATGTGGCTTCTGTGATCAAAGGAGAGAAAAATCAGAGATGAGGTCATTGAAGGAAGATGTAATAGGGAGCTCAGATTTTATAGGCCTTTCTGCCCATTTTAATGATGGGTTAAGTGTGTACTTCCTGCACATGGTTGTAAACTCCCTGCTGGAAGGGACTGTATTCTTTTTGTTACTGCGTCACTTATACATGGTGCCTGGCACATAGTCAGTGCTCACTAAATACCTGTT